TAGGGAGCTCCACCGAGGGCTCCAGTGGGACCGCCCGCATGCGTCATCCACCACCCAGCATAGCGCTTCGTGGCGGCATGGGGGCCTCCACCGAAGGCCCCTGTGGGACCGCCCGCATGCGTCATCCACCACCCAGTACAGCGTTTCGTGACCCCCTAGGGAGCTCCACCGAAATCCCCAATGGGACCGCCCGCATGCGTCGTCCACCACCCAGTAAAGCGTTTCGTGGCCCCATAGGGAGCCCCACCGAAGGCCCCAGTGGAGCATCTCGTGGCCCCATATGGAGCCCCACCGAAGGCTCCAGTGGGACCGCCCGCATGCGTCACCCACCACCCAGTACAGCGCTTCGTGGCCCCATAGATGGCTCCACCGAAGGCCCCAGTGGGACCTCCCGCATGCGTCATCCACCACTACGGCGTTTCGTGGCCCCATAGGTGGCTGTACCGAAGGCCCCTGTGGGACCGCCCGCATGCGTCATCCACCACCCAGTACAGCGTTCCGTGTCCCCACAGTGAGCTCCACCTAAGGTCTCCGTGGCGGAACTCGCATGGCGGCCCAGTGGCGGAGTTCGCATGGCGGCGACTTTCGATTCCTGGGAGTTTTTCATCGTATTCGACGTATTGAGGCCGCTTTCGGGCCGCGCATCCCGGGCGGGAGCCAGCCTGCTCGCTCTCTCTGCTCCGCGCAGCGGACGACCCGCGCGCGTCGCCAGGACCCCTTCGGGGAAACCAGCGCGCGTCGCGGGGACTCCGTGCGGCGCCGCGCCCGCGGCCTTGGACGTAGGCGTGCACGGGGAAAAAGGGAGAAGAAGAACGGGAAGGAAGCGGGCGCGATCCTCGTGAGAGGCGCGCCGACATGGGCGTCGACATTTATGCACGTAGACTCACGCGCGCGTAGAATCATCTACAATCAGATTCATTCGCTCTCAATCTCTCGCGCACAAACCTATCGTCTTCGCTCGCATTGTGTGGCCCGCTACGCATGTCGGCACGCCCCTCGCCTGGCTCGTGGCCCCATAGGGAGCGCGGGCGAATTTGGCATTCAGAATTGCAGCATTCACCGCTGCATATGGTTGGGTCCTTTGCAAGGCTGATTTTCTGTTGGTTTTTGGTGAATTGTGAGGTTCTCTTCTTTTCGGTTTCCCGACGCTCCAAGACGGTTGTCTTCTGGGCGTCCGAAGCCACCTGGAAGGCTCGTAAATCACCCCACAACCATCCGCAAGGGCTTCCAGGCAGTCCAAGAGAGCCCCAAGACGGCCCAAGATGGCCCCAAGACGCCCTCCGAAGCATTCCAAATCGTGACCCAGTCGTTAGGGAACCCGCGGTTGTGGGCAGGGTGGCCCGAGGAAGCCACAAAAGCCTCCAGAAGACGCCCAGGAGGCCTCGCAAAGGCCGCAAGAAAGCGTGACAAAAGTTGTGATGTCCCCAGAGGCTCTCCAAACTGGAGCCTCCGCAAACAAAAATTGCGGAGGATGGAAACAATACGCAGGGTGTGGCGCGAATGAGGAAAACAAAATATGGTGGAACGATACTAAATATCATTATTATAACGGCGTTTTGTGGGCCCCGGAGACGGCAGGTTTTTTTTTTCACCGTTTCCAAAAAATGTCCCTTGAAAATGGAAACGGCAAAATAACGGCGACCGGAAACGGCAAAAAAACGGATCCAGGATTGGAGCCGGAGCCGGAACCGGTCAAAAAACGGCGACAGAACCGGTAAAAAAACGGTGTCGGAACCGGCAAGAAAACGGCAAAACGGAACCAGTGAAAAAACGGCCCTGTCGTTTCCAGGGCCCACTAAGTAACGGCGATGCCGGAAAAGGCAGCAAGGAAATATCGCTAAAGTGTCGGCTTGGCCTTCCTGCCGCTCCGCCTGCATATAAAACTTATTTGACCAAGGTTCATGGCGCGAAGCGCCACTGCATAAATTATACATATATATATATACATATATATACACACACACGCGCATATTGGAGTAGGCGGGGGGACGGGGCTGGGCCTGTGCATGTTCCCCCCATGGGTGCCCGCCGGGGGTTGTGGGGGGGTCCAGAGCTCCTGAGGCGGCCCGGGCCCGCCCCGAAACAAGCCACGACAGGCGAATGGAGGTCCCGAGAGGGCCCAAGACGGTCCCAAGAGGCCCCGAAGACGCCCCAGATGCCTTCAAGACAGCCGATGAGGATTCCAACGCGCTCCAGGACGGACTCAAGAGGCTCCCCAAGAGGGCCCTGGGAGGCTGAATTCACTTCACTCATTGTCTGAGAGTTTCTGAAGGATTTTGGCGTTTTCGACGGTCCCAAGAGGCCCCGAAGATGCCCAAGATGCTCAAGATGCCCTCAAGACGGCCGACGAGGACTCCAACACGCTCCAGGACGGACCCAAGAGGCTCCCCAAGAGGGCCCTGCGAGGCTGAATTCAATTTCCCGATGGTTGTTGAAGGATTTTGGCGTTCTCGTTTTTCCCGCTTCCCGGCGCTCCCTCACGGCCTCGGAGGCCCTTCAGATCGCTCCAAGACGGCCCACGAGGCGCTGAAGAGGGGCCCAACACGGCCAAGGAGGCCGACGAGGACTCCAACACGCTCCAGGACAGACCCAAGAGGCTCCCCAAGAGGGCCCTGCGAGGCTGAATTCATACATCTTCCGATGGTTTTTGAAGGATCTTGGCGTTCTCGTTTTTCCCGCTTCCCGACGCTCCCTCACGGCCTCGGAGGCCACGAGGCGCTGAAGAGGGGCCCAACACGGCCAAGGAGGCCGACGAGGACTCCAACACGTTCCAGGACGGACCCAAGAGGCTCCCCAAGAGGGCCCTGGGAGGCAGAATTCATACATCTTCCGATTGTTTTTGAAGGATCTTTGCTTTCTCGTTTTTTTTTCCCGCTTCCCAGCGCTCCCCCACGGCCTCGGAGGCCCTTCAGAGCGCTCCACGACGGCCCACGAGGCCCTGAAGAGGGGCCCCAGACGGCCCAGGCGGTTCCCCAGACAGCCCAAGTGTGCCCCAAGAGCTCCCCAAGAGCTCCCCAACCGATATTTCGAGGTCTCTGGCCCTAGGGGCCCTCGGTAGGCACCAGGAGGCAGCCAAGAGGGTCCCACGAAGCCCCGTGAGGCGTCCAACAGGCCCCCAGGAAGCCCCAAGAGGCTCAAAGGGGCTCCCAGGGAACGCCCACGAGGCCCCCCAACACACCCCAAGAAATCCCAAGAGGCCCCAACGGGCTCCCAGGAAGCCCCAAGAGGCTCCCAAGGGGCTCCCAGGAAACGCCCAAGAGGCCCCCCAGAAAGCCTTCTGGGGGCATGGTTCATCATGGGCCCGAGAGTTCCCCGAGACCCCCAAGGGGCCCCCAGGGAACGCCCAAGACGCCCCCCAACACACCCCAACAAATCATGTCCCCAGAAAGCCTTACGGGGACATGGTTCATCATGGGCCCGAGAGTTCCCGGAGGCCCCCAAGGGGGCCCCATGGAACGCCCAAGAGGCCCCCCAACACGCCCCAAGAAATCGTGTCCCCAGAAAGCCTTCTGGGGGCATGGTTCATCATGGGCCCGAGAGTCTCCGGAGGCTCCGAAGTACCATCACGCTACCGGAGAGCTGTCTGGGAAGTTGACTGGGAACATGATTGATCGCTTTGTCGCTGCCCCCCGCAGATCGTTTCGCGCAAAGTTGCGGCAAGTGCCTTCTTGAACCGACGACGACGACGGCGCCGACGACGACGACAACAAAGACGACGAAACGACGACGACGACGACGACGAGCACGACGACGACGGCGCGCCCTAAGAGGCGACGACGGCATTACGACGACGACGACGACGACGACGACGACGGCATTACGACGACGACGACGACGACGACGACGACGACGACGACGACGACGGCACGCCCCAACAGGCTCCCCAAGACGCCCCCGAAACCCATGTGCCCAGAAGGCCTTCTGGGGGCCCCACTCATCGGACCTCCGCCCCCCCTGCGCAGCCATCTTCCCCGAAGGCCTTCCGGAATGCGGATTGGCACGCGTGGACTGAGATCCACCACGTCAGTGGAGCAGTGCAATCGTCAAGGCCTGGGCCCTGTTACAACCTTGGCGCGCGCGAAGCGCGCGATGGTTCTAGTATGTGTGTATATAGTGTGTATGTTTATGCGTTACATACATGCATACATACATACATACATACACGCATACATACATACATACATACATACATACATACACATACATACATACATACATACATACATACATACATACATACATACATACATACATACATACATACACACATACACACATACACACATACACACATACATCACACATACATACATACATACATACATACATACACACACATACATACACACACCTACATACATGCATACGTACGTGCATACATACATACATACATGTATCCACTCACATACATACATACATACATACATACATACATACATACATACATACATACATACATACATACATACATACATGTATCCACTCACATACATACATACATACATACATACATACATACATACATACATACATACATACATACATGCATACATACATACATACATACATACATATCTACACACATACATACATACATACATACATACATACATGCATACATACATACACACATACATACATACATACATACATACATACACACATACATACATACATACATACGTACATACATACATACATACAGTCATACATTCATACATTCATACATACATACATACATACATACATACATACACACATACACACATACACACACATACACACATACACACATACACACATACACACATACATACACATACATACATACATGCATGCATGCATGCATGCATACAAACAGGCCGGCACCCTGTCCTGGTCGCTTCAGTGACGCCGCGCTGTGGACGATGCTGGCGACCAAGGAAGCAAATGCGGCACAAACAAACATGTTCGGAGCTGCATCGGTGCAGGCGTTCAGATTTGGCGTCCTCCCAAGAGAGGTCGGCAGCCTGTCCTGGTCGCTCAGTGACCTCGGCCTCTTCCCGCGCCACGCCGCGCTTTGGACGATGTTGGCGATCGAGGGCCCTGAGATCCTGGCGTTGCAATGTTTCCACGACGGGCGTTTTCGCCCAGCTTCGGGCCCAGGGACCCTCACAGATCGATCGGGCTCGAAACCTGGCGCAGAAAGATGGGGTCAAGGGCTCCAGGCGATGTTGGGGCAATTTTTTGGTAACGCCGAAGCTCAGGGGGGAGAAAGCGGCACACATAGAAACTTTCGGAGCTCCAGCGCCCGAGGCGCCGCCAGGGGGGCACAGCGCCGAGCCAAGAAGTCCGCGCGGAGCTCCGAAAGTTTTGTGCCCGTGCCGCCTCTTCTCCCTCCAGGTGAGCACCCTGCTGCCGATGGTCTGGGTCCTCCAGGGCCTCCTTGCGTCCCCGCCGCGTAGCCCCGCCGGGGCCTTCAACGCGCTCGTGGCGTGCGTGGCGGGGGCCCTGCGCCTGAGGGAGGTCTGGGCCGCGTGGCCGCGGTACAGCGCAGGAGC